GGCGCTCAGCACCACCTTGAAGGCCGAGCACTTCTTGGACAGATGCATCCCAGAGAGAGGGACGGATCCCGGCTCAGGGCCACACACCGACAGCTGGATGTTCGAGCCCCGCAGCTAACGCTCCCCGCATAGCTACCACGATGCTAGCGCCCCCCCCCCGCCCGCGAGGCTGGAGACGCGGCCAACGCTCGGAGGAACATGTCGCTGCTCGGAGGTTTCACCGGGAGACGGACGGAGACACACGGAGAGGACCGGAGGAGGACACTGACCCAGCGCCTGTGTTGTCCACGACTCACACGGTCGATGCCGCTCAGCTGCGACAGCGGCGCAGGTCGATGAGTAATAACCGTAATGTCTGGAGGAGAGGCGCAGGGGAGTGTGACGCTGGATGAACGATGGAAGAGTAAACACGGAAGACATTTTCACACGTCATCGTGTCTCCTGAGGACAAAGATCCCATTTATACCGACAATAATAATAATATATAAACATAATGTGCGTGCGGAAACTTTAAATCTGCACGCGGACTCATGGACGTCCCCAACGACGAGGTGGCCGAGTGGTTAAGGCGATGGACTGCTAATCCATTGTGCTCTGCACGCGTGGGTTCGAATCCCATCCTCGTCGACTTCTTTATGTTTTGACACGAAATGTCTCCAGAGGTTTTAATTATTATTTAACTGTGACACAGAATGACTCCTCCTCCTCCTCCGTCAATCATAAACCACTGGTTCTGACCTGAGCTCACATTAAAATCTGGCTCGGTTCTTCCTCATGTTTCTAATTTAATCATTTACGAAATGATTTCTTTATTCACATGCTGCCATCCAATCCTCTTTATTTATAAATGACTTGTATAATTGTATTTTAACTACTTATTCACCTTCGATTGTATTTTTTGATAAATAAGCATTAAATAAGGGAGTTTTTAATTAATCAATTAATGAAAAGGCATCATTGCAACCTGCTGACCTTAAAATGCTTCTCTGGTTTAAAGAAGACGTTTATATACACAGTGAATATAAAGCACGTGCGGTGAAGTTGAACACAGATTATCCACCTGTGCATTTGTTACTGGTTGTATTAGATCTACATGTGAAAGGTGCAGCTTCGGGTTGGTGCTATGATGTTCACAGCAGTTTGATCTTCAGTATTTAACACACAACAAAGCACAATTGTGACAATTCTTTAATTCATGATCATAAACAAAACAGTTTTGTCCTCACAACTAATTGAACAGCGTCAGACCCAGGGTCAGTCAGACTGTGTTAACTTACTTTAACCGTTCCAAGCTCGAGCTACAGGTCAAAAAGAATAGAACAAGTTTTGTTGTACTTTTAATGACAGGGCTTAACAGTAACAGTGTCATAGCATGTACTGGTCACACACCTGACTTCACGTCAGCATCATGGATTCAAACCAGCAGCCTTTCGATGCATCACTTGTGTGTTGAGTGAAGCAGAAAAGGGTGAATAAAGCTCAAAGATTGAAATTTGATCTTTAGTGACAAGTTTACAGTTTAATCTGTTGTTCATGCTCACAAATCGTGTTGTCAAACTGCATTCTGGGACCTGTTCTTCCTCCTCAAGGGCCAAATGAACCCAGCCTTAAAGGTGTCATTCACAAATCGTCACTTTAGAAAATGCTTTGTTTCTGTAAAATTGCAGGGGTTGACAAAGTTGAATTTAATTTAAGCCACAAATATTTCCGCTTTAACAAATGACAAACAACTTAGCATTCACGCTGAACAAGAAGAGCGCAGTGTACACTTTGAATTTCTGTCTGTGGCAAAATTACGTCCAAACCAAGGGCCCCGTGTTTAGCAGGAATTTCAGTAATCTCCAAATCCAAAGTTTCCCTGTAAAGAGTTTTCAACCTACATTTTGTGACTGTGTTTTCACTACTGCAGAAATCATAAGGCCCTATTGTCTCCCAATATTATAAGAAACTACGACACTAAAACGCCTGCGCCACTTTTGGAACCGCCTCCTTCGCTGTCCCCGGAAGACGCCGCCGTCTGGCCCTGTGCCTCTCCTTCACCCTCCCCCACCAACCGGATGTTGTAGCGTTCCCTGTACTCGGTGAGTTCCCGTCCTTTCGTCTGCATCGATGTGTTGATGGTCTCGACTATTTTGGAGATCTGTGGGGACAGAGGGAAATGTTCCATTCTTGTCTGAAGCTGGTGGATTTAATTGAAAACATCCTGAAAGACGGTGTCAGATATTATAATAATTATATTATGAAGGACCTTTGAAATAACCCTTTCAAAATAATACACTGGCACATTTGTTCATATTTGTAAATCTTCCACCTGTTCTTTGTTGTTTTCCAAAGCTGGTAGAACTTCTTTTACTGTTCTCTCCACCAACACTCCTCCTACCAGACGAAAGCATTTCCTTGAAGAATCCACTTCCCTCAGCGTGTCGATCACTAAGCTGAAACAAGAAGCAGAAATGTTAACGGCTGATTATCTGAACGACAAACTGACAAAACTACACAGGAGGGATCGAAGCTGCCAACCTGTGCTCGTTGATCTCCATCTCCAGCTCAGCAGCTTTAGAAGCCATTCCTCGTTGCTCCTGACGCATCCTCTGAAATGTGGCCACCACCTGTCACACAACAAACACGTGTGATCATGGAGAGGAACAGTACAGGATGTATACACAGGTCCTCAAAACTGCAGTAACTCCCCACGTCTGTGTTTAATACTTGTACTTCTGTAACTTTACTGACGCATGTGCAGCGCGACGCTTCATCTCTAGATGTATGTAATACATGAACTACAATAAGCGGCCGTTTCTGGGGTTGAATCGAGTGAACAGCCGCAGTTTCCTCTTCACTTCTGATTCCAGCAGATTTTCGGTGTCACAGCAGAACAACGGGGGCCGGGCTCCAGGGCGGGGGGAGCTAACGTTAGCTTCGCGGAGCTGAGGAGTCAGATCAGCGGCTTTAGCTTCAGTCTCTGCGGCCGGAGAACATCGACACCGGCCGCAGACACTGAGGCGGACCGGGGCGGAGGAGACGGTACCTGCTCCGCTGAAGGACCGGGCTGTTTCCCTCCGGAGCCGCTGCTCGACTTGCTGCCCGTGCTGCTGCTGTTGGCTGCCATCTTGGAAGAGTGTTGCCGCGAAGGACCCCGGGGAGGAAGTGTACAGGTGGCCCCTGTGATCGCCTGTGTGTAAATGCAGTTTCGTTTTTCTGATTATTGTATTTTTCTCTCTCTCTCGTCAGTTCTGGTAGAATCTGCCTCTGCATCACTCTATACACACTTTTATTTGCACTTATATTCTAGACTTGAAACTCTAATACTGTTTAATTCACTGTATTCTGAAATA